GGCTGAGATGATAGAATAATGGCTGAGATGATAGAATAAGGGCTGAGATGATAGAATAAGGGCTGAGATGATAGAATAAGGGCTGAGATGATGGAATAATGGCTGAGATGATAGAATAAGGGCTGAGATGATAGAATAATGGCTGAAATGATAGAATAAGGGCTGATTTTTTTTCAGAAACAGTGTTTTACTAATTCTTAAAACGAATTTTATGGGAAAAAATTACAATACAAAAGTGAGCAATTTTTCTACTGTCTGAAATCAGTGTCAAGGCAGCATATTTATTTTTATGACTTCACTAAAACCACATTGATTTAATAAGCATCAAAAGAAAGAGTAAATCCCAGAGTTTGCATTGCAACATTGCAACCAGCTGAGTTGCCTTAGAAAGAAATTATCTTTTTAAAGAGTTACACTTCTTATGGGCAGTTTTAGCTGCCTTAGAAGTCAAAGGGTTAAAAGTAAATAATGTCTTATCTAGTACATATCATCAGTAATACACCTCACTTTTAATATTTACATTAAAAAAAAATGTTAACACAATGTTCTTCTCTATTTTCTTGAAGCTGAAGCTTGTGAATTAATTGATTTATTTATTGTTAGGAGGTGTACCTTAATGCACTGTTCTATCCTGGACGGTTCCTTGATCAGGCCATTGTCAAAGCACTACAGGTTTGTTTTTTAAATGCATAATTATAGTACATTACTAACTTATCATAGTATGGTGAAAATTTAGTACAAGGAAACATTGTACTTTATTCCTGATATGGAATCTCAAACTAATACAAATTATTAGTAATTCAAAGAAGTGATAATTGTTTTGTTCAGCAYGGTTCTTTTTACATTATTTAATTTATAAAGGTCTTGTGAAAAATATCTTTTTAGAAAAGCTTCACATGGAAAGCTCTACCTTTAGATTTCAATGTACAATACCAAGACTAGATAAAGATGAAAGTTAAGAATCAGCAATATTTTTCAAACCAATGTAAATTTGAAGTTATGTTGACTTGCTTCTTTGGATTTCTAAGCATTTCTAAGCTGTCATTATGCTTGCCGTCATCAAGTAACCAGTTGAGTCAACCACTTGCCTCGCCGTTCATACATCAAATCCAAAGTGCTTTAAGTAGCATTTTCAGTGGAGCCAACATCAGCAAAATATCTGACTGTCCGTTCAAAATTTTCAAAGGCACAGTCAAGATCTAACAAGGGAAAAAACGATGTTATATCATCGAGAGTGATGATGAAAATTGAACATTCGCTAAAATCACTGCAAGGTCTGCACGTGTTGACGTTTTCAATTGTCTTAATTTTGACGTACTTTTCATTTCTTTTTTACAAACTTTTGGATGTTCTGAAACCTTTTTAGCTAAATTACCATGTTTTATGGAATAAAAAAGGTTTAGTCGACATAAATTGTGTTATTAAACACTTTTTCAAACAAATTGTTGTATTTTTTTGAAACTGAACGACACTGAACATGACATGACATTGAATGAACAAATGCGCGCGCAAGCGGAAGTGTTAAGAGTGAATGTCAGCAAAAACCAGACAAATCAGCTATATTGTGGCAACACTTGAAAAATCGATTTCGCACCGTATAGTTGGTTTTGAAAAATATGTTATTGTTTTTGAGAATTTTTTAATTTTTTCTGGACGTATGTAATTATGCTAATTTTCGGAGATCAAATCACGGAAATTAAAACGCCAGTTTGTAAAAACTTAAAACATTTCAATATTAAAGCACCAATCTGCTGTTAATATGACACTTCAGGAGTACTCACACAGGAGTACTTCAGGAGTACTCACTCTCATAAATTTTCAGCTCATTAAATAAAAAAGAAAGAAAAATGATTTCTAAATTTGAGATTTGAAGTAGTTTAGAAATGAAAATRAAAATTTCAACTTTATGGTTTCAATGTTTAGAAAGATATTAGGTTAAAATCGCCTGGATCACAAACACTATTATGGCTAATGTTATATTTTTAAAAATTAGCATATTGTGCAAACTTTAGTCGACTTCAGCTCTCTAAGAATTTATTTACCCAAACACTTCTTTTGATATACTTGAAGTACTATCCTTTCGCATTACACAGGTGAAATATGACTGAATTCGGAGGTATCGGTATGGGTGAATTTTGATGCCGAATTGATACTACTTTTTAACATGACAAATGTATGTAAATTTGAAAAATTCGCCAAATATTGCTCACCAGTCCTATGTAGCTATAACTGTGTGAGTACTCCTGAAGTGTTATATTTACTGTAGATTGGTGCTTTAAAACTGAATTCGTTATGATGTGTGAGTACTCCTGAAGTGTTATATTTACTGTAGATTGGTGCTTAGACTGAATTTGTTATGAGTTTTTACAAACTGGCGTTTTAATTTCTGTGTATTTGACCCCTGAAAATTAGCATATTTACATACGTCCAGAAAATTCAAATTTTTCGAAAACAATAACATATTTTTCAAAACCAACTATACAGTTGTTCATGTAACATAATAGGGTACCTAACTTGAAAGTATGAGCGAAATCGATTTTCAAGTGTTGCCACGATTTGTCTGATTTTTGCTGACATTCGCCCTTTTAAAAATCACTTCCGTTCTTTTATTTTTTCTGCGTTATATTTATTTATATCTATTTTTATATCTATTTATTTTTTATTAAGACAGCCATATAATAGATAACTTATTAACCTCGTCCGTTCGGTCATTACGGTCTTGTTTGTATGACCTCGCTATCGCTCAGTCCATACTTCCAAGACCTCGGTCTGAGATTTCCCTGTAATGACCTCACTCTCAGTTAATAATTAGTATTTACCATTAATTTTTGAAACTTTATTTAGAATTTCTGAAACAACATTTAATGGGATTGATGTTGTCTTTCAGATTTATCAGAATAGTATCCCATCAGCTTGTTCATATGATGACAGGAGTGAGTTAAGAAAGCAAGTAATTCACCTAATTGATACTGAGGTAAGCACTTGATGTTATTTGTTAACTGTATTGTGTGATAAATCATTTCTTCATTCCATCAATCTTTYTTCATTCTCTTTCCTGCCTAGCATCATGTTGGCTATTTTTCATGTTTCTAGATTCAACTGTCAGCTTCAAATAATGAGTTAAGCTACAGTGAGTACTATGACTTACAGCTGAGTTGCTGGGAGAAATTCTTTTGCTGTGTTGTACAGTATCATCAGGTATCTCAAAAAATACTTTTATTATAAAGCAGTGGACATTTTTGCTTACATAATGTTTGATTTATTTTTCAAGGCTGCTGAACAAGCAGTAGGTCTTTTTGTAGATAAAGCAACAAGTCTAGTGTTCATTATCAAAAAGGTATGGAGTAAATAATATAGAAGTGAACTATTTGGTAACTAATTTTAGCTAAAAACTACAGTATCATTTTTTTTAGGATATGCTTTCAGTACTGAAGGACTGTGAAGGTGCTGAAAGGCTGTACCTCTTTTCTTCCATACAACAAAATGAACCACTAAATGAGGATTTGTTGATGAGTATGTAATAATTGCAATATCATAAACTCTAACCCAAAACCCTAAAACATTCTATGGATTTTAGAAATACTTAGTGCATATTCTTGTTCTTTATAAAGAACAAATGAACACAGATGGAAAATATTTGAAGGTTTTGCAATACAAAAATACCAACCATCCCTCAATAAACAAATCAAGTCCTTAATTGCCAAGCTTTYCCCAAAGGGAATTACATAAAAACCCTAGTAGCACACATTTTGTTTTATTCTGATGATGGCTTTGTAGTTTATAGCCTTAATATTATTGTTTTTGATTGTCATATTAATTTAATTAGATGTATGTGTCTTTCATCTACTCCAGAGTGTATTTTGTAGCATTTAGGTTTTCTTCCACATGTTATTATTGTGGTTATTGTTATTATGGTTTGTTGTAAAGCTACCGCGGCTGTAGATCACGCCATCTCATATCTGTTTTCTTCAGACAAGTCGTTGAAGAAAGGGCTAGTTAGTGTTTACAATGCTATGAAACTCATATCAAATCAGGTATGTTAAAGTGTAAATGAACTTCACATTCTAGGATAATCTAGAMCATTATTTGTTCAATATTGTCTAATATATTATGTATCAAGACCTGTGTGAAAATTAACTGCAGTTGTAAGTTTAAGAATTAACTTACTGCACATAAAATTGAATTGAATAATTCCTGACTTTTAATAAGATTTTAAATTTTAGCTATCCTACTCTTACTAATATGGCTTTTTATTGCAAATGTGTGACATTGAGCTCTCTCATAGTGGCTCTTTTATTTAAAAGTTGGAAATTATATCTCAAAAACATTGTAACCTTATTACGGAAAGTAAAATCAATTGTACAAAGTAGCAAAAATCCAAAATGTGCATTTGTTTGTAGTTAAGTAATGAGAACAAGGCAGATATTGAGAATGATCTCATGTATGGATGCAATCCTACAGAAATGGCACTTCATATTGCAGATATGTTAGTCACTGGTCACAGGTATATAGAAATTCATATTGTAATGTTACTAGCCTGTGTACATCCGTTTCTCACCCCTCAAAAAATC